TGATGACAAGGACATCAAAGTAGGTGAGGACCTAAACACAATCATTATCAGGAAAGAGGCAGTGTTGGGCAAACTAAAGGAGCCGAAGGTAGACAAGTCTCCTGGCCCTGATGGAATGTTCCCAGGGTACTACAAAAGATGGTGGGAGAAATAGCAAATGCGCACATGGTAATTTTCCAAACTTCGCTGGACTCAGGGGCAGTTCCAGCAGATTGGAAAACAGCCAACGTGACGTCACTGTTCAAAAAAGGCGGTAGACAAAAGATGGGGAATTATAGGCCGATTAGCTTAACTTCTGTAGCGGGGATATTGCTTGACTCTATCATCAAGGAAGAAATAGCAAGACATCTGGATAGAAACTGTCCCATTGTGCAGACGCTGCATGGTATCATGAAAGGCAGGTCACGCTTAACACTGGAGGGGGTACAGAGGAGGTTCACTGGGTTGATTCTAAATTTGAGGGGTTTGACTTATGAGGAGAGACTGAGTAGACTGGGATTATATTAATCAGAATTTAGAAGAACAAGGGGGATCTTATACAAACATATAAAATTATGAAGGGAATAGATAACATAGAAGCAGGGAGGTTGTTTCCACCGGACGGTGAAACTGAAACAAGGGGCCGTAGCCTCAAAATAAGGGGGAGCAGATTTAGGACTGAATTGAGGAGGAACTTCTTCATCCAAAGGGTTGTGAATCTGTGGAATTCCCTGCCCAGTGAAGTGGTTGAGGTTTCCTCGTTGAATGTCTTTAAAGCTAAGATAGATAAATTTTTGAACAGTAAAGGAATTAAGGGTTATAGTGCATGGGCGGGTAAGTGGAGCTGAGTCCACGAAAAGATCAGCCATGATCTTATTGGTTGGTGGAGTGGGCTCAAGGGGCCGGATGGTTTACTCTGGCTCCTGGTTCTTATGTTCTTAGGAAGGACAGAAAGGGAGGCAAGAGAGGAGGGGGTGGCTTTTTTGATTAAGGAAAACATTATGACCGAACTTACAGAAGATATTTTTCAGGATTCATCCAGTGAAGCTATATGGGGAGAAACTGGAAATAAGAAAGAGATGATCACCTGGACAAGATTGTATTGTAGACCCCCTATAGTCAGAGGGAAACTGAAGAGCTAGTAAGTAGAGGAATCTGGGTTATATGTAAGAATAACAGGGTTGTAATAGTAGGGGTTTTAATTTTCCAAACATTGACTAAGACTACAGCGGTGTTAAAGGTTTGGATGGTGAGGAATTTGTTAAATGTGTTCCAGAAAACCTTCTTTATCAATACATACATGTACCTACTAGAGATGGAGCAAAACTTCACCTTCTCTTGGGAAACAAGACACAGCAAGTGACTGAAGTGTTGGTATGGGAACACTTTGGGACGAGTGATCATAATTCTATTAGTTTTAAAATAGTTATGGAAAAGGGTAGAAACAAAAACAGAAGTTGCTGAAAAAGCTCAGCAAGTCTGACAGCATCTGTGAAGAAAAGAATCAGAGTTAACGTTTCGGGTCCGGTGACCCTTCCTCAGAACCCAGTTCAGTTTTTATTGAGAAGGGTAAGCCTTGTATAAAAGTTGAAGTTCTTAATTGGAGTAAGGCAAATTTTAATGGTATGAAATAAGAACTTTCAAAAGTCGATTGGAGTAGACCGTTCACAAATAAAGGGATGACTGACAAGTGGGAGGGTTTCAGAAATATGATATTGAGAATTCAGAGACATTATGTTCCTGTTGAAGTGAAATGTAAGACTGGTAAGAGTAGAGAACAATGGATAAACAAAGATATTGAGGTTCTAGTCAAGGCTAAGAAAGAATTGTATATTAAATGTAGACAATTGGGGTCAAATGAGTCCCTTGAGAGTATAAAGGGTCTGGGGGCATTCTTAAGAGGGAAATCATGAGGACAAGGTCGGGATATGAGATAGCATTGGCAGATAAGGTGAAGGATAATCCAAAAAAATTCTACAAGTACATTAACAGCAAAAGAGCAACTAGAAAGAGAGAGAGTAGGGACCCTTAAAGATCAACAAGATCATCTGTGTGTTGAACCTCAGGAGATGGGAGAAATATTAAATGAATATTTTATGTCAATTTTTACTGTGGAGGAAGAAATGGGGGCTAGACGACTCAGAAATAAATATTGATTTTTTTTGAAAACAGTTCACATTACAAGAGGAAGCGGCTAGAGGTCTTAGAAAATATAAAGATGGATAAATCTCCAGGACTTGATCTTGTGTATCACAAGACTTTGTGGGAAGTTAGGGAAGAGACTGCAGGAATATTTGTATCATCTATAACACGGGTGAGGTGCCAGAGGACTGGAGAGTAGTTAATGTTGTGCCTTTATTTTAGAAAGGCTGGAAGGAGAAGCCTGGAGACTACAGACCTGTGAGTCTGACATCGGTGGTGGGTAAGTTGGATCTACATGTATTTGAAGAAGCAAGAAATGATCAGGGATAGTCAGCATGGTTTTGTGTGAGGGAAATCATCTCTCACAAATTTGACTGAGTTTTTAAAGGAAGTAACCAAAAAGATTGATGAGGGCAGAGTGGTAGATGCTGTTTACATGGACTTTAATAAAGCCTTTGATAAAGCTCCACATGGTATATTAATGAAAAAAATTAGATCACGTGGGATTCAGGGTGAGCTTCTCAATTGGATACAAAATTGACCTGACGGTAGGAGACAGGTGGTGGTGGAGCGTTCTTTTTCAGACTGGAGGCCTATGCCCAGCTGTGTTCCACAGGGATCGGCACTGGGTCCACTTTTGTTTGTCATTTATATAAATGATTTGGGTTTGGATGAGAATATATAAAGCATCTTTGGTAAGTTTGCAGATGGCACCAAAATTGGTGGTATAGTGGACAGTGAAGAGGGTTATCTAAGATTACAAAGAGATCTTGATCAATTGGGTCAATGGGCTGAGGAGCGGCAGATGGAGTTTAATTTGGATAAATGCAAGGTATTGCATGTTGGTAAAACAAACAAGGGCAGGACATATACAGTTAATGGTAGGGCCCTGGGTACTGTTGTAGAACAGAGAGACTTAAGGGTTCAGGTATATAATTCTTTGAAATTTGCGTCATGTATAGACAGGGTGGTTAAGAAGGCATTTAGCACGCTTGCTTTCATTGCTCAGACCTTTGAGTACAGGGGTTAGGATGTCATGTTTCAGTTGTACAGGACAATAGTGAGGCCCCTTCTGGAGAACTGCATGCAGTCTAGTTGTCCTGCTGTAGGAGGGATATTACTAGATTAGAGAGGGTTCGGAAAAGATTTACGAGGATGTTGCCAGCAATGGAGGGTTTGAGTTAGGGCTGGATAGGCTGGGACTTTTTTCACTGGAGCAGAGGAGGTAGATAGGTGGCCTTATAGAGGTTTATCAAATAATGGGAGCTAAGGGGCAACTTTTTCACACAGAGGGTGGTGTGAGTATGGAATGAGCTGCCAGGGGAAGTGATGGAGGTTGGTACAATTACAACACTTAAAAGCCATTTGGACAGGTACATGGGTAGGAAAGGTTTAGAGTGAATAAAAACTGAAATAACTGCGGATGCTGTAAATCAGGAACAAAAACAAAGTTGTTGGAAAAGCTCAGCAGGTCTGGGAGCATCTGTGAAGAAAAAAACAGTTAATGTTTCAGGTCCAGTGACGCTTCCTCAGAACTACTTTAGGTTGAGAGTGACATGGGCCAAACACAGGTAAATGGGACTAGTTGAGTTTAGGAAAGCTGGCCGGCATGGATGAGTTGGGCCGAAGGGTCTGTTTCCATGCTGTATGACTCTACGACTCTCTGGGTGAAGAAACTTGTCCTCCTCTCTGTCCTAAGTGGCGTTCCTGTATCCTTAAGACTGTGGCCCCTGGTTCAGGTCACCTCAGTGACTAGGGACACCCTTCCTGCATCTCCCCTGTCTAGCCCTGACACGTGATGGTCAGGACAGGAGGTGAGCTCCATCCTGGAGAGTGACCACCAGCTGTCTCAGAGGCTGGATGTGGTGGAGCGAAGCCTGTCACTGAGATTAAATCACAACGCTGACTTTAATGGCAGCTGCTGGTTTACACATGAAGCAGCGACACTGACCAGGAACTTGAGCTTGGACAATAAGAGTGACCCACAAGGGACACTCAAGGGAGTCCTGGATACGACCACCTGCATCTGCCTTCCCCAAACAGCCACTGCCCACCCTATCCCAGCTCCGGCACCATGGATCACCCAGCACTCCAGACCTGGAAATTAGCCCCCTGTCTCTGGGTGAGAGACAGATGTTAAACATTGAAATTAGCCTCAGAGATCCAGATGGCATCCTGCCAGCGAGCCCATGGAAATCTCCTCCCACACCCTCCTCACACACACCTACCCACCCAGTGTCCATCTGGGTAAGGACTTTAAGAATCAGAGGCTGGCCAATCCCTGCGAATAGTCACAAGTTATCGCTCTGTAGTGGGTTCTTACAGAAACTAAACAGTGCTCCCTAGTGGCAAAGTAGCTAAACACACAGCATGTGAGACAGATCCAACCAACAAAAACCTGCATTGATATAGCGTCTTTTGCAGAGCCAAACATCCCACAGTGCTTCACAGAAACAATAATCAACTCAAAAACAGAAATTGCAGGAGAAACTCAACAGGTCTGGCGGCATCCATGGAGATAAAGCAGAGTTAATGTTTCAAATTTGGTAATAATCAAAACAAAAACATAGTTACCGGTTCGGGTCCAGTGACCCTTCTTCAGAAATGTAGTGGTCACTGGATTTGAACTGTTCACTCTGATTTCTCTGCACAGATACTGCCAGACCTGCTGAGTTTCTCCAGCAATTTCTCTTTTCTGTTTCAGTTTCCCAACATTAGCAGTTCTTTCTTGATATTCCGAAATAGGTGACCCATCCGTTACTGAGCCAAATCCAGAAATATGAAGACAGGTCACTGAGAGTTGGTTAAAGGGGTCTGTTGTAAGGAGTGGCTTGAACAAACAGGGAGGTGGGAGAGGTTTTGTGTGGGAAATCCAGAGCTCAGGTCCGGGCAACAGGCTACCAGTGATAGAGCAATTAAAATTGTAGATTCTTGAGAGATCACGAATAAAGCATCAAAAAGGTCTTGTAGTTTTCTAGAGCTGCATGGGGTTCAAGAAATAGGGAGGAGGGAGAACATGAAGGGCCTTGAAAATGAAGATTAAGGTTTAAAAGGAAGGTTAGTTTTAAAAGCAATGATTTGCCTGACTGCAACTGATGTAGGTCAGTAAGGACAGCAAAAGCTTAATGTCCGCTACATCAAGTTGGTTCAACCACAGCTGGATTGACAATTATGTACAGGCAGTGTCCGCAAGGAAAGCCATCAGTAATTGTGTTCCAACGCCTCGTAATGGTCAGTGCTGAGGGAGCGCCGCACTGTCGGAGGGTCAGTGCTGAGG